ATGAATATATTTGTCATTCTAAGAATGCCTGGCTTTTGAAAAACACAATTTATTTTTCTGGAGTCTTCAAATGCTATCAAAACTCCACTTCCACACTGTAAGAAAGGTCAAGATGATAAATAATGAAAAGAATTTTCAGCACTTGTAAGAAATATTTGGTAATGTAACTATTTTAATAATGTAACTATTTTAATAAAATATGATCTTATTTTAATGAATTGAAGGTATAATCTATTAAATTAATTATCAAACATTAGGAGTGCCAAATTCTAAAGTAAAGGCTATATATGTTACTTCTTATCCTGATATTGGGCATCTCTAAAAACAGGCTGGATTTATACCTTTTCCTGCAAAGTAAGAAGTCCCAACTTTCTCAGCCTGAAGGGCGTGCTGCTATTCAGCGAGACCTGGACAGGCTGGAGAGCTGGGCAGAAAAAAACTGGATGAGGTTTAACAAAAGCAAGTGTAGAGTCTTGCATCTGGGAAGGAATAATTACATGCACCGGTACAGGTTGGGGGATGACCTCCTGGAGGGGAGCCCTGCGGAAAGGGACTTGGGTGTCCTGGTGGATGACAGGTTGGCTATGAGCCACCAGTGTGCCCTTGTGGCCAAGAGGGCCAATGGAATCCTGGGATGCATTAAAAAGAGTGTGGCCAGCAGGTCGAGGGAGGTGATCCTCCCCCTCTACTCTGCCCTGGTAAGGCCTCATTTGGAGTACTGCATGCAGTTCTGGGTTCCTCAGTACAAAAAAGACAGGGATCTCTTGGAAAGAGTCCAGCGGAGGGCCACAAAGATGGTGAAGGGCCTGGAGCATCTCTCCTATGAGGAAAGGCTGAGTGATCTGGGTCTGTTCAGCCTTGAGAAAAGGAGACTGAGAGGGGACCTGATCCAGGTCTATAAATATCTGAGGTGTGGGGGGCAGAATGGCGAGGCCGGACTCTTTTCAGTGGTGAGTGGAGATAGGACAGTGGTGAGTGGGAAACGGCCAGAAACCACAGCATAGGAAGTTCCGCACAAATGTGCGCAAGAACTTCTTTACAGTGAGGTGACGGAGCACTGGAACAGGCTGCCCAGGGAGGTGGTGGAGTCTCCTTCTCTGGAACACCATTTCAATCATAGAATGCTTGGAGTTAGAGTGGTCCTTAAAGATAATTTAGTTTTAAATCCTTCTCCAAAACCTAGTTTCCGAAAGATGACACTTCATCCTGAAATGAAAGACATCTTGTGACTGAACAGTTTTATGAAGTAAACATTTCATTACCCTTTTTAAAGTGAACAGTTTTTCCCAAGAGAGAAAGGATGTTTCAGATAAAACATAAAAGAACTGCAAAGCAGGGTATATGATCAAAAGAGCTTTCAAATTAAAAACTAGAGGACAGATATCAACAGCACGAACACCAAAGATATACAGAAGTAGGTAATTACATACAAAAACACCACCTTTTTGCTAGCATTCCAATCATAGCTGAACTCCTCCAGGCAAACACCTGGCTGGAAGGTACTTTTTATTTTTACATAAAAGTATGCTACATCTAAGCTAGAGTTGTGCTGTTCATATATTCATCCACTCTAAAGTAAGCAATTTTCTCAAAGCAGGGGATTCTTCATACAGAGAGGAGTACTTTCATAGTTCACTTCAGTCACTGCTGCCCAGATATCTCAGTTGAATTTATAGAGTCAATTTACAGGGTGTTCAGGCAGTACCCTGTACGTTGAACCAGCAAAGAATATGGTCAACTCACAATGCTGAAACTAATTTATGCTCCAGATGATGTTAGAATATTCCCCACACACAACATCTGCCCCTCTTTAATTCGTAATTTACAATTGTAAATTACAGTATAATGTTCTTGCTTTCTTTGTGCTTTCTCTCCCCTCCAAGTCTATGTTCTTCTACTTCTTGTTCCTCTACTTCTTGAGGAAAAGAGAGTAGTGAGAATACAAAGTGTACAAGCATGTACATTAAGTGAACAAATGGACAAAAACCTTCTTCTAAATAAAACTTCTAGAGATGTTTTTCCAAATGAAACTTCTAGAGATGTTCACGATAATGAAAATTATTATGGTTAGGTTCATAGAATTATAATTAAAAGCAGGGTCTTATCCCACATTTTTGTTCCCCATACTAGTCTTTTCCAAGATAAAATGTAATGATTTCACAGTACAAAATGCTACAAGCCATTTTTAAAATTCTTTTGTCTCAGTTTCATTCTTCTATGCTTGCATCAAGTAATAATAAACTCCAACCACTGACATTCATACAAGTATGAATGTCCAGCTACTTGCAGATAAGAGCATGATAGTAATAGAATAGTACAGAGAATAATGGGATTTAGGGTATCTGATGTGTGAAAATAGAAGCATAAGCCCCTGGAGCAGATACTGGTACCCATTCTCCATACCCTAAACTTTGAAGTAATTCACATTTTTTGCTTCCCTTGATTAGATGTCAAAGATGACAGGAAGTGATGAAACAGAAAGCAATAAGCAATAATTAATTGAAAGGAATGGATACAGTTTAAAGACATCTGAAAGTGAGAAAAAGATATTTGAAATGAGTGCAGAGAAGGATCCTTTTAATTGTGGTGGTAGTTTAGTACAGCCTATTGGAAAATAAAATTATTATACAACCTACATTTTCAACACACAGGATGGTTTGAGGTTCGTAAAAGGCATTTAAAAATCAAAGTTAGTTCTAAACACAACTGGATAAACAAAAGCAATCTTACAAACAAAGCTTATTACTTCAAAAACTACTTGTTGCTTTCTGTTCTTCCACTTTTCTTGCTAATCTACACTGAAGCCTCAGTGGTGAAATATTCAGAAGTATCCAGTCCCACTGAAATCCAATTTCTTTTTCTATTCTTAACATCAAAGGTCTTGAGTCAAACCATGATATATTATGCAACGAATCTGCAACAGGATGAGCTATATAACATTGTCAGCTAGTGGTCACTTGTCTTCAGAGGACCATAACTCAGTTCTAGAAATTTTAGTATTCTCAAAATATAATAAAAACTTGTACAGCTGCAATTTTAGAAGATGTCAAATAAATTGCAAACATATTTCAGTAGTTTAGCTATCAGGAACTAAAACTGCAGGAAGGTAGCATTTACTTCACCAGGAAGTTAGCTGTACATATATGCATAGCTGTCCAATGTTCAAAAACATCAATATTTTAAGACACTAACAGCACTGATTGTCACAGAACAGGACAGTGTATTATGGCTTAATTAATGTTACTAAATTTTGCTGTCTGTGCTGTCTCTGAGCTATATATTCTGACAAATAGATACTTATTTTTTTATTGTTATTGCTGAAAAATACCACTTAGAAATTACAAGTAGACTCTCTGTCGCCTTAGTTTCGGCGACCCTGATTGAAGTCTCCCTGTGAAAGTGTTCCGACAGCCCCGGCCAGTTTCACACGCTTTTCATGACACCAATATGGCGAGCGGTAAAATGGCGTTAATTGCAAGGAGCACATCCTTCTTAAAACTTTCCCCATGCCTTAGGGCTACTACCTGACCAATGGACATGTGGCATGTCTTGTTTCTTCCTTATTTGGTCTATCCTGTTCTTCTCTCTTATCTTCAAGTCATTTGTTGCCATGGTTTCCCAGGGGCCAAGGGGCCCCTGTCGGCCCTGGCGATTGCCCCAGCCCATTCAGTTAACTACATTTCCCCCTCCCTAAGCACAGGTCAATCTACTACAACCTGAGAGGACCCTAATCGCGTACACCCGAAATCCCCGCATTGCGCCTATACATGCCATTGTCCTCTCAGTTCAGTGTTGCCCTGTTACATTGTAATGCGCCAAATAATTCTACTCTAATAACCCTATGACCTATTAATATAAAAATCCTAATGTCTTAAGCGTGAGTTCTACATAAAGCTATATACTGCATTCTTAGACGATGCTCATTCATTCATCTTAGCATTTGCCATGAGCCATTCGTCTCAGCATACACTATAGTTAACTACGTAATATACCTATATGCCTACGTACCTAATATAATATGACTATAAGCATAAAGCATATTAATGTTAGACCTAATACAACTATAACTGAGTACAGAATAGAGTTAAACATAGTTAAACATCCGTTACAATACGTACGCGAACCCGGTTACAATCTTTCGAGAAGCCTATGGTATTCCAAGATTTGATTGTGCAAACGTTATTGCAGACAGCTGATGAAGCAAGGTACACAAATTAGAAGCAGGCTTTACACCACTGAGCAGGGGGAGGTCCTATCCCGTCACATCCCGAATCCTCGCCTTCTTCGCCTGCCACAAAATCTCTCCCATGCTCAGTGAAACCTTGCTGTGTTATATCGCGAAGCGCCTGATAGTTCTATCCTTACAGCCTAGCAGCCTACTAGCTTTAAGATGAGTCTTATAAGAGGCGATGTAGTGTATCCTTAGATAATGCTGAATCGAGTTGGGACACTTGCCTCAGCAAGCGCCACACCTTAATATATATTATAACTATTAGTACTAAGCATAATAATGTTAAACCTAACACAACTACAACCGGATGCAGTACAGAGTTAAATATTCCTGTCGCTGTGGGGGACCACCCAAAAGCGCTTCCCACCAGTGGTGTTCTCCGTCCTTCTTTCCTCTCTCTAGGACACGATGTATCTCTTCTGTGTCGTGGTGAACGGTGATCAAGGTTTTCTGTCCATTGTCTCTGACGCGTTTCAACAATTGGTGCAGGTCATCATGTTGCAAAAGCTTCCTTACCAAGTTCCTTCCTTGGTAAGCCAAAGCAAGATTCATCCCACTTGGAGCAGGTGATAGGTCTTTAATCACCACGTAATTATCCTGCAAAAACTGATGTGATGTCGCCGACACTTAATAATTAAAGCCACTTCCTACAATACTGGTAAAGTTATAGACAGAGAGATTAGAGATTAGAGTGATTGCTGATAGCTCTAGTGGCACTATCTATGCCCAACATATACCAACATTGTCTCAGGTACCTGTTGGAATGTACCTCAAAAATAACAAACATTTGTTCAATATCAAGGCAGATGTCTCAAGCCTTGAGAGCATTGCTCTCACAAACCAGCCGTATGGAATTGCTTGTTCTCCAGGCCTCAATCTGGCCACCTGTCCATGAAGGGAACCCATTCTGATGCCCACAGTGCATACTGCACTGGCTTAAGCACCATGCACATCAGATTTGTTACATGCTGAAAGAGAAGGCCTGATGCTGTCAGGACTTCTAATGCATTTAAAGCGAGGAGTGATTTCAATTCCCGTTTCTCTGCACAATCTATCAGGTGTGTGATGCCTTTCGGATCAAGAAGTACCCCTTCCGGGTCTCTGTTATCATTCCCTACTATCGGGAAGGTCTCTAGTGCTCTTCCTTCCTTTATCAGGCTAGATCTAAACTTCCCACACTCTGTTAGTGCATCTCTCTTAACTCCCAAATGCGAATTCACCTCTCTCCTTTCGCTATCCTTTTCAGACACAGCTGGAACCTGAGGGCTCTGCACTGCTCCCACTGTGCCCATCTCCCTTTGACCATGTACTGATTGTTGTAGAGGCTTCTGATTGGTTGCATGCACACTCAATCTTGTAAAAGGATGTCTGGGTCGAGTCAATGGGTCTGAACACTGTGGCAAAGAGTGGGTCCGGAGACTATCGTTATTTCTTTCTCCTTTGGGTGTAGCCTGAGCAGAGGGCGCCAGACAGACGCCACCTACTCCTTCAGGTGCAGTCAGGGTGGACAGTGCTGGCCGTACACTATCATCCAAGCACCTGTAAGTTACATCTCTTCCCTTTCTCTCTGCTGTTTTTTCTTCTACCGCCTCCTTAACTTTTGACCAATCCATACCCGAGCCTTGACCGCAGTTCCCACCCCCCTGAGTGTTACTGCATTCCACCTCCTGAGAGGAGACAGTAAGTGTCCCATCCCAGCTCACTTCTCCCCCTGCCCCCGCAGGGGGCAGATTACACAGAGACAGCGGTTGTTGTGGATACAGTGGAGGGGTTTCAACGACCTTGCATTCCTGCACTTTAGCCGTTTTGCAAGACAAAAGCGCAGACAGTTGAATGCCTTCTTCTACTTGTTTATGCGAAGCTGAAGCCGAGGGGGAGGTGAAGTGGGATGCCGAAGGTGCTGATGAGATGTTAGTCGCTATAGCTGAGGGCATATTTACGGTGTTCTCTTCCTCAGGGGACCTGCAAGAAAGTACTCTCCCCGCACAAGTAAGCATGATCCTGCCCAAGGGGCGCTCTCCCATTCCCATGGTTAATGCCACTGTGGGCGAGGGGCTCACTGTGGTACGGGACCCCGACCTCGGGTAGGCAGAGCCGCATTGTCTGGCCCATTTGGTGTTCCGGGGGAGGGGCCCTGGGCCTAAGGCACCCTCCCTTCCTCGTTTCCCTGCGGCACTATGACAAACTTCTGACATTGGCGTACAGTGTGACCTGATCTCCCGCAGGCTTGGCAAGCCTGGTCTGGCCCTGCTACCCCTTTCTGTCTCCCAGGGGCTTGGCACTGGGCTCTGAAGTGACCAAACTGTCCGCACTTAAAACACGGTCCCCTACTCTGATTCTCTCTCATGGCCATTGCTGCTACTATCGCTGTTGCTAATCCCTCATTGGTGAGGGGCATTGTTCTCTGTTTCTCCAGTACATACCTAATGATATCTCCCGGAGTACTAAGGTCGTCGGGAGTGGCTAGAATAAGATCCTTAACATTTTTGTGTGATTTCTGTTTAAGACAATCCATGATTACTGCATTATGGGCAATCTTTGGCAGATCTGAGCCTTCTACTGCCCGAATCAATCGATTGGCAAAATCTGAGAATGACTCAGATGGACCCTGGGCTACCTCTGCCCAGGGAGCAGAAGGTTCAGCTGTCCTTGAGAACCTTCTGAAGGCTGTCAGAGCTGCTTCTGTGGACGCCATCAGCTCTCCTGGGCGAAGGTGTCTGAACTGGCCTTCAGGGGACCCTATCATGCCTTCCCCATACCCTAACAACCGTGTCAGATTAGTTACCTCTCCCAGTTCCCTACCATTTGCTGGGTGTCGTGGGTCACATGTCGCTGCAGCGACTACGGCCCTGAGCTGTGCCAACCACTCTTCCTTCCATAACATATACTGCGCTGGCTCAAGTATCACCTGCATGAGACCCTCTATATCGTATGGAAGCAAAGGTCCCGGAGCCATAATTGCCTCCAGTGCAAAAAGTGTAGCGGGTGATCGTAAACCCTTCTTCCCTATTGTCTCAGAGAGGCGAGTTACTACCTTTGGATCTAAAGGAATCCAAACAGGTCCCTGTCCCCTGATCTCTACAGGGAATGCCTTATAATCACCCAGAAGATCCGCCGCTCTCATCTCCTCCCTTACCCGGCCCCAATCGATAAATAAGGCCCCTTTCCCCAAGTTAGCTGGGACCCTGGCCATTTGGGAGGGCGGAAAGGGTGGCGGAGGCAGAGCCGCAACCATCAATCGCTCAGCCCCTGAGGGCGGAGCCGCAACCATCAATCCCTCGGCCCCTGCCCCTACCCCTACCCGCGTAGGATCCTCCCCCTGACGAAAGCCATGCAAAGAGGGGTACTGGAGAGGATACGGGGGCGGAGCCGTCGGCGATGATGGCGACTCTTCCTCCTTCTTTTCCGACGTTGATGTTTCTGGCATGGTTGGTGCCTCCGGTGCCATCTTGTCTTGGGGCAGATCCTTGAAGGGGTTAGAGTCTCCCGGCCGTGGTGACCCCCCCCCGCCCGGATCCAAACCCAACAGATCTCTGGCAAGGTTTTTGGCAGTCTTTTCTTCCCTCGCTGCCTTCAAAGCACCCCGAATGAGACCCCAAAATTTAAGCACCGACGCCCCTTGGGATGACATAGCTCTCTCAGAGAGCATTAATGTCAAAGAGTCCCATTTACCGGAGTCATAAATATCATAAGGAGAAGAAAGAAGTCCCTCCTTTTCAAGAAAAGAAAGAACGGTAGCCACCTCCTTCTTAGAAGGAGCGGTTTTCCCGCAGTACGTTTTACAGGCTTGATATAATACCTTAATGACGGATTCCATCGTCGCCCAGGGAATTCAAACCCTCCACGACCTTCCACCAGCTACCGTGGTGGGATAACTTCGCAGCGCTGCTTTTAGCCCCAGGGATCAGCCCCTCCGGCTCTTCCGCCGCCTTACCACGGCAGGCTCCTGCGTCCGTCCCGCAGCCGGCTGTCACACTTCCACAAATGAGACTTCCTCACACGGGGCACCATTTGTCGCCTTCGTTTCGGCGACCCTGATTGAAGTCTCCCTGTGAAAGTGTTCCGACAGCCCCGGCCAGTTTCACACGCTTTTCATGACACCAATATGGCGAGCGGTAAAATGGCGTTAATTGCAAGGAGCACATCCTTCTTAAAACTTTCCCCATGCCTTAGGGCTACTACCTGACCAATGGACATGTGGCATGTCTTGTTTCTTCCTTATTTGGTCTATCCTGTTCTTCTCTCTTATCTTCAAGTCATTTGTTGCCATGGTTTCCCAGGGGCCAAGGGGCCCCTGTCGACCCTGGCGATTGCCCCAGCCCATTCAGTTAACTACAACTCTCACACAAACATCAGCAAGACAAACATAGAGCAAATACTAAAGGGAAATGGCATATTCCAGAGAGCATATTTATAACATGGCACACATTCATAATAAATATACTACCAATATTAACTAGGAAACACTGAATTCTGCCTGTAATCTAAGACTATTTTGTAGAGTATGGGGAAATATGAAGACTAAGAAAAGTGAACTATCTGGTAAGAAAGAGTAAAGATACAATTGTTTTTTTAAAAAGGATCCTAAAGAAAATGCCACTTCCTGCAGAAACATGTATACATTTAACTCTGCTTCTCTAAATAGTTTCAATAGCTACACCACCTTTGTAAAAATTAGGTCAGTCAGCATTTATTTGTACGTCAGGACACAAAGGTTGTCAAGCAGCATATGCACTTTAGAAATGGAAATTTCCTACACATTAACATAATAAAAATAGAAAAAATAGGGGTGCCAGGAACTTATATAAGAGATTTCAACTATGTACACACATACACACACACACACAAAAAAAAAAAAAGGAAAGCACATGATGGTATAAATAGTTATCACCAAAGAGTTCCTGTTGAAGTGCTATTATGATTAACGCAGTCCCAAGTATGCTTAAGGGTACATCTACACTGCTGTGTGCAAGAAGTTTTAAACTGCTCTGTTCATACCTGGATCAATTAGGATAGGCAGGTACTATGACATTCCTATAAAGCTGTTAAATTTTCCTACTTTGCAGCCAGATTTAACTCACTGGATTAATTTCTGAGCTACCTGTGGCTCAGAACACAGTAGGCATGTATCAGCAAAGAACACTAGGAGGGCCATACTGGCTTTGCCTGTAAATGAGTGGTTGGACACATCACAAAAAACAATCCATTTTGCCTCTACAGCTAGTCCTGCAGAGATTTGCATAACCTCTTACTTAGTTTTAATCTGACTTCAGCAGGGCTTATCAACATGGATAAACACAAAGATAAGAGGTATCTCTTGTGGGCGTCTTTGATAGCCAGAATAAGAAAAAGTTGGAAACTGAGACACTGAGTATGAAGGCAACAACCACAGCAGCCTAGAAACTTGTACTGCAATTACAATTCATGTGAAGAGTATCCTTAGAGGAAAAGAACTGTCAGTAAAGGCGCAGTTGCCACTGAGGATAGATTATCTGCCCAACAATCAAAATCCTTTGAAGTTTTCTATCACCACTGCCAGAAGACCTAAGTTAGCTTTCTTTTAAAAGAGAATACAAATTTCAGCTTTTTACCTTGCAATAGGTATTAAAGCAGGCAAAGCAAAATGTATTCCCGCCAGGATATACATGCTTGATGCAACAACTTGGTTCAGAGCAGTGCTGAGCCGTGAAGTTTAAGAGCTTAAGCATTTCTAATTCACTGGCTCTTTCTTTGGTACAGTTTTCTTTGCATCAAACAGATTTCTCGAGTCTTATAGCAGGCCTATCATGAGATTGTCCAGTTAGCTCTCAAATCTTTTGCCTTTAGCTATCTCCAAAAAAATGTATGTGATGGAATATTTTGGCCCTAGGCACAATGCAAGGAGTAAGTTGTCAGAATACAAAAAAGGGTATTCAGAGCAGCAGCTGTGAAGCAAGATGAACAGCACAAGAAAGCAAGGCTGAGAACCAAGGATATCTCTAGAAAAAGAGAAAACCAAAAAGGAATGGCCCATGGCCCTGATTGGGTAAGCTCTTGTATGCACGGTTAAGGAGCATTTGTGCAATACTTTGTTGACATGTAAAGGCAGACAGGAAAGTTATAATGGCAGATGGGAAAGCTAAAAAAGGAAATCTGTAAATGTACAAAAGTTATGTGAGAACCTGTAATAAACGACTTAGATTGTTCACATCTGACTCCATGCCCGGTTGCCACAAATGGTACCCTGTATCAGGGACTTGAATTGGCTTATTTGGCTGACTGCTGGCAAGTCCATTCAACTTCAGTCTGCTGAAAGGAAGCACGATTGACTGTATGGCAAGGTCATCTCTGAGGAAGCAGCGGTGAGCAGTGGGGAACTATGGATGGGGAAATGTCCAATGAATGTAAAGCAGCTTACCAGATGATGGAGAGTATTCTGAAGAAGCATTGTGTGTAGTGGGATGGCACTCTGAGTGACCCCTTTTTAATACTGGAGTGGATTTGGGTAACTATGGGAGCTCAGTAATGAAGGAGCAACGAGTAAATCTTGAAGTATTACAGAGAATTTCAAAATTTCAGAATCAAACTGTATCTACCTTAGCATTAGCTACTTTCCTTAAATGGGTAAGCAAAAATGTCCCGGAGTTTTGGAAATCTGGGTTATCTTTTGATGGAGCAGTTTGGGACAAAATTGGCATAAGACTCTGGGATGATGCTACTTGCTCATATGGATCGGCAGCCTTGGTATAATCTGCGGCACCTCCATTGTTAGGTGCGACCTTAAACAATCGACGAGATGGGTCAGACAATCCTTCAGATCGCGTGCCCAGGAACCTGGAGAAAGAACTTGATCCCTCTCCTGCTGATAAAACAGCTGCTAAACTTTTACCTGTTTGGCGCAAAATATCGGAAGCACTCAAACAAATTCTACGAGGAAGGACAAATTCTTCCACCCATTCCCCATCACATTCCTCGCCCCCCTCAGAGCAGAAAGCAGAGCTCCTGCCAGATCTGATTCATGACTTCAATCCCTTCCCCGGCCGGGGAGGAAAATGGCGGTCCCCGGAGAGCGCCATCGCCACCGTTGCTAGGAGGCAACGGTAGACCCATGGCCAAGGTCCGTTCCTGATTGTCATCAGCCCAAGGCTGCTACCGCTTGCCGTGACGCTACTCCCACCCACAACCCACCCCTTCCACCCCCCTCTACTTCCCGCCATCACTCGCCACCCTGCGTCCTGCCTCCGCTGCCTGCAGCTCCTCGTCAGCCACCCACGTGTAATTTGGTTAAAGACAAAGATGGTTCACCCCCTAATATGTAGCAAGCCATCAGAAAGGACGCCTCCTTTCTGTCAGTCATCTTGAAATGGTCCATCAGCCGCATTCGGCTCTTCCATGCCTTGTGATATATAAGCCTAACAGGCCCCCTAGTAGAAGAGAATAAGCTTCCAAATAGTAAAAGAACTGAGGAAAACAGTTTTCATATTCAGGTTAGGATCTCCGTATATGACTAATCTGCTGGGCACAATAATGAAGAGCCTTATCCTTTGCCCACGTGACTGTAAGACTCTGGCACAATTACTTTTTGACTAGTTCCCAGTATATGACGTGGACATCATACAGGAGGAAGTCAGCCCAGAAAAAGGCAGTTCAGAGTTTGGTGAGAAAGCAAGAGATCCTTTGCAGGGGCAGATGTGCTGCTAGATGAACACGCTTCTGCTACTACAACAGCGTAAGTGCAGTTGCCTGCCATAGCTTTGGAACTATGTAAGGAATCACCCGTTAGTGCTTTTTTGAAAGTCGAAGATGCTGGAAAACTGCAGGAAGTATTTACCAGCATTAAACAGGAGTCTATTGAGCCCTACATGCAATTTATTGTTAAGGTGAAAGATAGCCTTGACAAACAAATCAGAAATGAGGAAGCGCAAGAGATACTGTTACAAAAGCTCACAATAGAAAATGCTAACAATGATTGCCAAAAGGTGCTCCACCGTTTATCTAACTGTGCTTCTGCAAACGATGCTTGCAGTAAAA